TGGAAACTCAGCTTCCTATTGGATGGGTTCAACATGGCTAGCAGGAAACTCTCCCTGCCCCTTCCTCCCCTTTCCCCAACCTGGCCAGGAACCTCAGCATCACCTTCCTCTGTCTCCTACACACTCCCATCCAAAAGACCGCAGTCTCCCCCTCCTGCATACCCAGCAGCCTGCTCCTGCCTCACTGGACCATGGAAATTTGGTGCTGCTCTTCAGTACTGTGGCCTCTTCTCTGCTTATTCCTTCACTCGGGCGTCCCCCATGTAAACCTCATTTAAATGCAGTCCCCATGTTAGACGCCCTCTTGCCCTCTTTGTAGCCATGGAGACAGCTTCTGAATAGTCCTACTTCCTCACATATCCCATTGATGCTTAAGCCACCAGCAAATCTGAATTATTTTATGTCACCGAGTAAAAGCATAAACTTTCCGTCACCTTCCCTGAATCCTCAAGTTCAGTTTTTGAGAGGTCTCCGGGGCTAAGAAGGAAACCAAGTGTGGGCCGCTATTACCGTGAACCTCACAGGGCAGGAGCTAAGGCTCTTGCTCCTTTCACCCTTTCTCTGACTCTCCTTCTTCTCAAGGCTGCCAGGGGTCTTGGTGTTAATTGGAATTCAGGATACATCATGGACTGTGAACTACAGAACACTTGCTCAAGCCCAAACAACCCCCACCCCAAGTAGGCAGGCCTCAGTTTCAGGCCTCCTCTATAGATAGTTTTAGCATCCACCAACCAAGCACCTCCAGCACGCACACAGAGCAGTCTCACACTAACTCCCCAGGAAGGGAGTCCCTAGAACTCCCTTTTGTCCATAGGAAATCTCTAAAAGAGAAGGCTGCTGCAGAAAGGAAGCAGCCCAGCTGGAAGACATTCAGCAGGAGCTGTCAAAGCAGGGTGGTCCTGGAGCACAGTGAGTGTTTTTTTTTTTTTTTTTTTTTTTCTTCCATCTTCCCCATTGCATGAAAGGAGACCAAATGGAGTCAAGGAGCATTCAGTACAAGTAGCAAAGTGTTCATCTTCATCTTCTAGCAGGACAAGCTGGGAAGGCAAACAGTTCCTCCCTTAGTGAGTCCTAAAGGCAATCACAGCAATGCCCCCCTAACAAGGCAGCTGCCAAGTTTAGAGCATATGCCCTCTCCTCCCCATACAAGTTCTAGAAGGGTCTGGTGTGGTGATATGTTGTTTATGGTCTAACAAAGCTTGCCTGGAGATCACAAAGCAAAGCTAGCCACAGCCATTGAAGCTGGGCAGTGGTGGCACACACCTTTAATCCCAGGACTCAGGAGATGGAGGCAGATGGATCTCTGTGAGTTCAAGGCCACCCAGGGGGACAGGAGATTGAATCGGTCTGAAAGAGAAACAGAGTTCACACCTTTAATCCCAGCACTAGAGAGGTATATAAGATAGGAGCAGGGTCTCGCATTCTGGCAATTAGTCTCTAGCCACATAGAAGACAGGACCCTCCCCAGCTTTGGTAGAGTAAGAGCTCTCTGATGGCTTGGCTGCTTTGCCTATCTGATCTTCAGCTTGAACCCCAATAATAACCCAATGTCTCTGGGTTTTTATTATTTGTGCTATAGTCTGGTACCAACTTATATTTGTATAAAGTATATTTGCCACCAAATGTATCTGATAAAATTATATATCTGATGGAGGCTGGGCATGGTGATGCATGCCTTTAATGCCAGAATTCAGAAGGCAGAGAAAAAGGAGCTCTGTGAGTTCGAAGCCAGCCTCATCTATATAGCAAGCCCCAGGAAATCCAATTCTACATAGTAATACCCTGTCTCAAAAAATATTAAAAATTTTAAACTAATCATGGCTGAATGGTTAAGAATGGAGATCTTGGGTCTGGTGTGGTAATGGTGGTACATGCCTTTAGTCTCAACACTAAGGAGGCAAAGGCAGGCAAATGTCTGAGTTCAAGGATAGCTACATAGAGAAAACTTGCCTTGAATAAACAAAAGGGGGGTCGAGGGAGGGAAGGAGGAGGGAAGAACAAAGGAAGGAAGGAAGGGAGGGAGAGGACAGAGTTCTTAAGCAAGATTTGTGATTATGGGGTGGTAGAGACTCTGGAGTGTTAGGCAAATACTCTGTCACTGAGCTGCAACCCAACCCATGAGTTCTCAGGGGACAGAATTCAAACCATTATATCTCAAAAGTGAGATCAGAGATTCCTCTCATTTCCTACTTAGTAGATATTCTGATTGTGGTGTAGATTTTGGATATTAACATATTGTAATTTTCCCTAAATGATAAACGCTATTATTTGATTAGTAAAGGATCAGATTTGAGTATTATATTTGAAGGTTTCTGCATAGCTCCATAGAACCTGACATATGTCCAGCTACCCACAGAGGTTCAATGCCACACACATACTGTAGAACATGCAGTAACAAGATTTGTCCTTCCAAAACCTCACCTGTGCATCTCTGACTCCGTGTTATTGTCCACACTTTAGCCATATGCAAGTCCCACCCCCTTGCCTGTAAATGCAAAGTATGGTTACTTTATTGAAGAAGTATAGAAACTAAGAGAGGCAATGTCACACAAGAAGTGGGTTCAGTACAGGGTCTAGCCACAGCTAAAGCTTTAAGATGTTCCCCTAGCTATCCCTGTGATTGCTTCTTGGCCAGGGTTATCACTCCTCAGTGTTCTTGGAGGCCACATGGAGCAGAAAAGGGACGACTACATAATCCAGAGATCAGTGCTTCTTCTTAAAGAAATACACCCATTTAAAATCAGAGCAGGAAGTCACATGCCTAACAAAGTCATTACCTTGTTCCGATTGTGCAATAGCCTTACAACTAAAACGTTCCCTAATCTAAGAGGCTGCCACGTAACAGCATATTTGATGCAAACTTTCATATTTTCCCATAGGTATAAAGATTAAACATTTGAATCTTCAAGAGAAATGGATTGGAATGAAGAGATCCACAGCAAGCTATTTCATATCCATTAGTTATCATTTACACATCAAATACATACAGCATAAGACCAGATATACAGAATTTCCACGTTTATATAGAGTAATCAACATAGTACACGATTTAGACCTATCTTACAATCAAGTGTACAAGTGGAAGTATGGCTTTATAAACTACTAACAGCAACTGTGCTAAATTAACTCATGGCTCCAGAAATACACACTGTATGATGCCTCCATATCGGGGCCCTTGGTCAATGAGAGGCTATTCATCGTGTTTGCAAACCAGATGGCACAGCTAAATGTCCTCCATCAGCCCCAAGCTGCTGAAAGGTGGGTTGAAATCCTGCCAATGTAGGCTCTTGCTATCTCAGCTTTCTGAGGGTGAGCCTGGACATCTTCCATACATTTGGGTACACAGGTGAGATGACATGGTGATTACCAGGTATTAGAATGGTACCCAAATTCTCCAGCAAGCATTTTTATTCAATAATTGGGGTTCATCTACCTTGTTTTTCTTGTTTTCACCTTAGTACTGATAACTGTCAAGGCATTGTAGACCAAGTGTTCCCAAAAACAGAATTAAAACGAGCTCTTTTGAAAGTGAGACCTAGCTACATGAGATCTTACCTCAAAGGAAAACAAGTGACATCTAACTGTTGACTTTTCTTGTCAACTACTTTACATAAAAATTAGGAAATAACATGACCGAAATTATGCATCCATATCTGTCCACTTGCCACATGGGTTACAGACACACTCTCTAATCAGTTACAGCCTTCAAGGTGCTAGCTAAGTAACCTTCTCAATTCTTTAAACTCTACAGAATATTCACTTTCTAATGTCTAGGTCTGAGATGCTTTGAAATGAACATTATAAAACAGTAGGGTCATATACACATATACAGCAATGTCCACACATACCCATCTGCATTTATCATCAGTAAATGCAGAGAGACAAGCACAGAGAGTTCTACAGATAAATTAAATACAACAGTTTGGACAGGTGCCTAAATATAAATGATGTCATCTCCAAACATTTAAAAAAAAATTCTTGAATAAAATACAATTGCTTTGTACATTTTCTGTAAGTGTCATAACTTTATACTAGAATGGAGTTGCAAAATCAAAGGAGTAAACACACTGGGCCAGGACATGTAAGTCGCTCTGCAAATTGCCAAACCAGCCTCAGCAGGGCAGTACTGGGACATGAGCACTGAGATGGAGAGGAAGAGCACTACACACTCAGAGACTGTGTCTATGATTAAGATTAAGACAAACATCACTTCAGTACTTCCCACACTGGCCACTCGTATATCCTGAGGCGATCCTTCACCGGGCAGACTGCATTTGTTTTTCATTTGGAAGCCTGTGCTTTTTATTATTTTCATAACATTCCATCACCTAAAAATCTGTCCACGATCAGCAAATCTCCAACCCAGACACACCATGCCATTGTCTGAGTCATGATATCTGTTGCCATTTCTTTCTCTCCTGTCTCAGTGAAAGGCTAAGAATCCCAGGAAAAGGACTTGGTAGCCCATATTCCCAACCACCATCACGAAGAAACGGTCACCCAAATTAAAACTTGAGTTGTCATTTAATACAGTGCAGGTAAATAGGTAAAAAAAAAAAAAACCATTTGTGATTGGCATGACCTTATCTAAGGAGGCTTACTACTGAGGCAAAACCACTTGGACAGGAGTCACAAAAACATGTCACCTGTTTGGGCAGCACTAATAAACATGGCAATTTACAGTTAAACCCATCTTTTAAAGATGAAAGGATAGCTCAAGTGCTAAATAAAGAAAAATGTTACGGACAGATGCAGTATCTTGGAGCCACAGAAAAAAAGCAAATAAGTGAAAATGAATGCTTGCTGGCAGAGGATGGGAGATGAATTCTCATTTAGCAATACTACTTTGTATACAATGAACTGGTCAAGGTAAGTATATGTGTATATTACTCAGCAGTCTCTGGATTGTCTTAGAATAGCTAAAGTGGTAATGACGGACAGTGGAGTTTTTAAGAGCTAGGGCAATGCTGGAATTAACTATGCACAGAATTCCAAGCACTGTAACGGTACTTGGTCTCCCTAGTGCAAAGACCCCTTCTTGTGCACACAAACTAGATATCTTGCAATGATCCTCCTGAAGCCAGAGCTTTATAGTGTCATGGTCTAGCATGATGACTTTTGGAAATTCCACATCTGGAGAGGTTCTCTGCTTCTGCAAAAGCCAGAATGGTTGAATTCACACTGCCTACTGGCTCTCGAACAGCTGAGTCCCTTTCCCATAAGCCACTTTTCAGTACCTCCCATAACTACTCTGAAGGTCAAGGTACTGACTATTTCCAGCAATCACTGCTGCAGGACTTCAGAAAATTCTTCAAAGGCCAGAAATCTAAGCTCCAGGTAAAGAACTGCAACAAAGAAAGCATGTGTTTGTTACCTACCCATGGCATTAGTAAGACTTCTATAGGCGAGGGGTACTCCAGTCCTATCCACCCACCAAGGGGATCCTTGTGAACTCTGCAAGTTCATACAGGTCACCTGAAGCACTGAGCAAAGCTTTGTAAAGCATGTCACAGTTGCACACCATTGATCTCTGGGCCTGCTAACAATGGACTGGCAGAGCTCAGCTTTCAAACTGGGGAAAAAATTGCCATAGAATATACTTATGCTTTCCTAGTATACATCAGTCCTATGTCTACTCAAACAATGCTGCACACCCTGAAAGGAATGCGGGTCAGTCAGGAGCACCAAAGATAACTCTGTTCTGCTTTTTTGTTTTGTTTTGCTTTGTTCTAATGGAAGAATAAACTGAGCTATTCCCTACCTGCATCGTGCATCACCATTTTGTGGAAAATAGAATCAGCAATTGACCCACAAAGAAATGAACACAGGAAAATTTGTTGCATAGATCTTATTTCATGAGAAAATAAAAATCCAACCATTTCTTTCCAACCTTTAGCCCCAAGCCCCAAGCTTACCCACTCAGAAGTGGTGGGTTTCAGGGCAGAAACAATGCTCACTTGATCCTGAACTCAACTTCAGAAGTGTTTAAACATAAGTAACAATGTCAACGACGATGACAACAACAACAAACTTTATATCACTTTCAAAATTCCAAACCCAGAGCTGGGGAGATGGCTCAGTGGCTCACAATGATTGCTGTTCATTCATGAGGACCACATTCTTTTACTTTTAGTTGAGAGGCTAGCCTTTAATAGCCTAGCCATCTCTCCAGTTTGTGGGGACCAGAATTCTAATCCCAGCACCCACTTCTTGCTAACACCTGTGTCTCCAGCTGGGCAGGATCCAATCCTGGCTTGTGTACCTTCGTACATCCCCAAATACAAGTACACATAAAAACAAAAATCCCAAATCTTTGTGGATAAAGATATTTTCTCAAACACTGCAAGGCAGCTGTTCTTTCTGCCCTCTCTGTCCCTCGGCACACATTCAGTGTGGATAACAATGGATACCACTTTGGCTTTCGTATCTCATACCAATTCTCTCCTCCCTGGATGTGTAAAAGACAAGAACAACACCAACAGTGATATTTAGAGACTCTTTAGAACAAGACCACCTCATCTGGGTCTGTGGACCCCCTGAGGAATCAAAGAGCAATTCCACTTTCCAAATCTTTGAATTTATATGTTAAATTTTAGATATTTGCATATATGCACCTTTCTGGGAATAGAGCCTAGGACTCTCATTAGATTATCAATGGAGGCACAGACACTCACAATAAAAACCCATTACTTTATAGCATGTGGCCCACTTTCTGAGCATGCTTTTCCCATCTAGCCTTCAGGGAAGAAAACGATAAGTGTTTTTGTTTTTGGAGGAAAGGGGATGATAATAGGTTGGGACTTCTTCATGCGGAACTGATGAAATTGGGCCTTAAGAGATGGTGAATGGGACCGGAGGGTAGGGCAGTTCAGCAGAGAGAATAGCATGACCAGAAACACAAAGCTGCAATGCAGGAGCATGCACAGATAGTGATAAATGGGTCTGCTGCACTCGAGGGTGCATGGTAGAGCCATGGGACACAAGAGCAGGAAGTGAGAATATCGGGCCCTAAGGAGGAAGCCTCAGCCTGAGGCAATAGATATCCCTACAGACCAAACATTGTTTTCCACAGATTACTCCAGTGGTGATGTGTGCGAGAGATCTGGGAAGAGTCTGGGCATGTGAAGGTTATCACAAAAATCAAAGCAAAAGAGGGTGTGTTGACGTTAGTGTCATGTCTGCCTTGTTAGCTGCTCATCCCAAGGTCAGACACAAGGTAGAGAGATGCTTAGGTCATATTTAGTGAGTGACTAAATGAACACAAGTTCTTTTCAAGATAAAAGGGGAGTATTGAATTTGAAAATCCATTTGATGTGAGTCACAGAGATTAGCAGTGCTACACATAGGACAGACACTGAGGAGAGGTCTCTTGAACTGGCCTGAAGCAGCCTGGCTGGAGGCGGGAGGTGAGAGAGAGAGATAATTGGAATCCAGCACTCACAGTGCGGTCAGGTGTGCTGGTACTGAAACACGGAGCAATTCTTCTGAACATGAATTAGTAAGGAAAACAAAGTAAGATGCTGTGATGGCAAGAGCCCTCTAGGGCAAGGGGAAAGACTCCAGGGGTGGGTCTTTCTCCTCTAAATACACAGTGTGTGACCAAGTCAGTAATGACCGCTGTGGCCCTTCTGCAAGGGGCTCTCTAGAGCTATGCCCTAGACTTTCTTCAGTTCTGTGCTTGCAAACAAATCTAGTGCTTCCTTTCCCAACTCTTCCTCACTTCCAAACAGCATCTGTAACACTCTGTGCAGTAGTTACATTAGTGCAAAGAGTTCTAAGTCTGTAATCAATAATACAGTGGCCATGGCCACTGTCACTGGTCACAACTGATTATAGGATACAGATTGGTAAAATCTGACCCCATACCTTATTTCTGCATAAATGTATATTGTCCTTTTAACTGTCCCGATGGACCAAAGCATAACCACTGCTCACCACTCCTGACTGTGGAGTGGGAAGCAGACATATAGGAAGCTTTGTTTCTGTAATAAAAGGTTAAAAGTAACACATGGTCCTTGGGTTTTCTGCCCAATCAGAAGCATCTGGTTACATAAAAGGTCATATGCTTCCTCACAATTACTTTCCAGAAAGAAAGAAAGAAAAAAACGAGCAAATGAGTAAAACGTACCCTATTTTCTTATTGTCCTTACAAGTAGCACCAATTCACCAAACTGGCCAGGGTTTCAAATCTGAGCAGTACGTAAAAGGGTGAAGCCCTCCCGTTAAGCACCCATATAGCCATGATTTTTATCTTGGTAACTTTGCTTCAATAATCCACATGGAGGTGGAGAACAGAGGTATATTCTCAGGTTCTACTCAAATTTGTATCTGCAAAGTACCCAGGTGTAAACTGCCCAAGTACCCAGGCCCTTCTAAGAGTACCTGCATGAAATGAATTGCCCTACAGCTTAACAACACCACCTACCCATGGAGTTTCCCTCCAAGTAATGCGTTAGAAATCAGATATTAACCCACATACTCATACTCAAAACTTTCTTATAAGAGAAAGCATCACACTGGAAGAATAAGTTGGTTATATGCAAAATGTCAAGCGTTTCTTTCCAGCTGAGAGAGGGGAGTGGGCAAGGAAGCTTGTGCCCAGTCAGGTCCACATTCTTCCTGTCTGTGCTCCATTCAGGAGTTTCCCTAGTCACGTGGGACTGCCACCGGGTGCTCAGAACACCAGGAGATGGACAGGACACCCACATGACACCAACACACAAGCATGCTTAATCATGCACACCTTCGCCACCCTATTACTACTCACCAGACAGTTCCTCCAGATAGGAATGGCTTTCACACAAAGTATTCATAACTAAGTTTTCTACAGGAAAGACTTCTAACATAAGAGTTCCACATTCTTCCCATTTCCATATGCCCTACAGCTGCTAAAGTGGCAGACATCTTCAAAATGCTCCCTCTTTGCCTCTTTGAAAATGAACAACTCTTTAAAGATTTTTGTGGAACACCTATACTAAAAAAACAGGTTACTTTTCAAGGAAAATACATTAATGTCTCAGAAACTTCCATCTTGGAGGGGCCTCATCAACCCTATAAGTCACCTTTACCCAGTAGATCATAAGCAAAACCAATGGTTTACAGTTGAGTCTTACAGCCCAAATCCACAGCCAACACACAGAACCATTGCCCCACACTTGCCTGGAAAATGAACTAAGCTATCCAGAGCTAACTTCAGAGACAAATACAAATACAGGGAAATCCCACCAGTATGGGGGCCCTGGGGCGAGGGAGGGAGAAGGGTGATGGGAAGAAATGAGAGATCGTGAAGCCCTAGGGTTTGGTGTCAGTGCTGTCCTGCTCTCACCCAACCACTGTGGGACACCTGACAGGGTACATACATTAGGACACTGCAGAGAACTCAGACACAAGGAACACCCTCATGCTCCAAAAAGTCATGTCAGTTTACAAGCTTCTGCCTACAAAAGTCAAATACTCTCCTTCACTTCTGTTAACCTGCCATGGTCCTGTGCTTTATCTTCTCCAAATCAATAAACACAGACAAGTTAGTACTCCCAGGAGACAGCCAAGCCACATGCCAGAGCCCTTGGCAATGAAAGAACACCCAGAGCTGAGGGCCACCTCTAGCTTATGGTGATTTACAAAGCTACTTCCAAAGTTCTCCCAGCAAAGTCACAAAGAGGACCGACACAGTCCTAATGGGCTCTGTGTTTCATGTGCACAGCCTCGGCAAGTGACTGCACGGAAGTCCTTGGCCCTCAGATCTTAACATTTGCGAAGCCCAATGAAGAGTGAAATCCCTTGTGTTGCTCCACTTCCCGGAGCTTTAAAGCGCCTTGCTAACACTGCCACATGAATCCCCACAACACCCCTGTGAGGTAGGTAGGTGGAGAGTATCATCATCCCCACTTTACAGGTGGGATAAATGAGGCACACAATAGTTAAAGGACCGGCCCCAGATCACACAGCTAGTCACTGGCAGGGTTTAGGGTAAAATTCCTGTTGCATAGTACCCTCAGAGCCACACACGTAACTGCTGTCACTGAATATCGGTAGACTTCATTTGACTTCTATCTCAACAGCAAGTACACATACACAGTACAACGGCAGCCACAGGACATCGTCTCCTACACTGATTTTTTCTGATGACATCCCCCTGGCAGAAGAAAGATGTTCAAGAATCCACCTGACACCCAAGTCCTCATTTGAAAAGCAGCAAGTGACAACCCATTCGTGTACCTGCTCTCCCACACAATATTGGTTTTCTAATGAAAACAAAAATGGATTTCAGGTGCCATGCTGATATTTGTTTTGTCTGTTTTAAACGGAGCCATCTGAATGGTTCTGTGTTTTGTTTGTAAAAAAAAAAGAAAGAAAGGAAGGAAGGAAGGAAGAAAGAACGAAAGAAGAAAAAAGAAAAAGAAATAAGGCGGTTAATAGTCCAGTTAGCATGTTAAAACTGAGCCAAGCTTGGAGATCTCCTCCAGCTCAGGTGGATTTCTACCTGGGAAGCCAGACCGACCCCAGGGAGTGGCAATTCCTAAGGAAAAGGGTCAGTGGCAGGACGTCACTTGCACTGTTCGTGGTCTGTGTAGTCATCCATGTCCACGTCAGAATCAAAGAGAGAGTGTCCCGTGAAATCCGTGTCTGGCGTCCTGGAAAAACTGTTCTCTGCCCCTTCGTCTTCGAAGGTTTCTGTCCTTGAGTAGAAGCTGAAATCCAGCATGGGTGTGTGAGTCTTGCTGCCCTCGCTGCTCTCCTCGGACTCGTAGATGGTGTTGTCATCATCATGATGCCACTCGGGCCAGAATTTCCTCCTGATCCTCTCACAGTACATGGCGAGGTTGATCAGCTCCCCTGCAGCGTGGCGGAGAAGAAAGCGTTAGTTCTCAAAGGCTGTGGCCTAACAGTGACGTGGTCTGAATGTCCGTCCATCATCGTCATCCCTCCGCCCCCTCACCCCCGAATCCGAACTCGCGAGGAGATGCCGAGAGGTGGGATACCAGGAGGTGATGAGGCTAAGGTGAGCCTTCATCACTGGGATTAAAACCTCCAAAACAAGGCTCAGATAGCTGCGTCTTCCAGTGAGGACGCACTGGGCCTGTGCATTGGGAAGCAGGCCCTCCTCAGACCCCAAGTATTCCACAAGATGATCATGGACCTACCAATTTCCCCCTGTGAGGGGGGAGGGAATGGAAAATGGCTTTGACTCACAAACCACCCTGTTTGTGATATGGGGATATGATACTGTGATATGTGATATGATACTGGACCTCCCGGGAGACGTGGAAGAATGAAGTGGAGCAGACATTAGCACTGTTTTTGGATTTGGTTTTCCCACAGAGATACTGTCAAAATATTTGGATTTTTATGTACACAGTAAATGTTTTTAAAGAAGAAAAGTTAAATTCAGAGGGCAGGCTAAGTGGAAAAAAACAAGTATGGCCAGAAGCAGAAGGGCAGTTTTCCTAAACTGGCAGCTACACTCTGACCATCTATCCGGCTTAGTGAAATCTTTTATCTCTTCATACCTGGATAGCAAAAGAACTGATGTGCCTATCCATTCATATTTAAGTTAATTTGCAAATGCCAACCCAGGCACAAAACCTTTGACCTCCAATTTGTCCTGACTGTAAGACTTGTCAGGGCGATGGTGGCTCAGAACATAGAGGAGTATCCAACTAATGTCTGATTTGACATTAAGACGAACTCCACAAGATGGAACCCATACCTAACACAGCTTGGGTGACCAAGAACCAGAGACTAGATAATCCTGAGACCTGGGATAAAATCAAACACTATTAGTTAAAAAAAAGTATCACTGAAATGACTCCTAGTGGTATTATTCTGTGATACTCACAGATCACAGACCAGTTCCTTACTCAGTTGATACCACAGAAGCTTCCTGTGGCAGCAGATGGGAGCAGATGCAGAGACCACAGCCAGACATCACATGGAGAGAGTCTAGAGGGAGTGTCCCCATGAAAGCCCTCCCCTCAGAGCCCAGGAAACCCCTCTTCTGAGGGGGTGGAAGGAAGGTAGGAGTCAGAGGGCATGCAGGACACCAGGAGAATGTGGTGATATCTTGCTTGCACAAATAAAGCCTGTCTGGGGTCAGAGAATTTAGCTTGCCACTAGCTAACCATAGAGGTCTGGAGGTCTATACAGACAGACAGGACAGGACGTAGCTGGGCAGAAACAGGATATAAGCAGGGAGAAACAGGAGATTGCTTTCTCCTCTCCTGAGACATTGAGGAGGTGAGGTGTGGCTGTGTTTGCTCCTTCTCTCTGATCTCTCAGCATTTCCCTCCATATCTGACTCCAGGCTTTTACTATTTAGACCAATTAAGAACAAGGCCTTATGAATCAACTAAGCAAGGCTCATACAAACTCACAGAGACTGGAGTAGCAAGCACAGGGCCTACAGGCATCTGCACTAGGTCTTCTGTGAATATATGACAGCTTGTAGTTTGGTACTTTTATGGGACCCCCGAGTATGGGAATGATTGGGTCTCCAGTTCTCCCCCCTTCTCTTAGGGTCTTTGCCTTCTGTTATGTTGCCTTGTCCAGCCTTAATATGATGGTTTTTGTTTTCTATTACTATATCTTATTTTGTCATGTCTGGTTGTTATCTCTTAGAAGCCTGTTCTTTGCTAATGAGAGGCAGAAAGGGAGTGGATCCTGAGGGTAGGGGAGGTGGAAAGAGACTGACTGGAAGGAGCAGAGGGAGGGGGAAACTATAATCAGGACATAGTGTATGAGAAAAGAAGCTATTTTCAATAAGAGGGGGGAAATGAAAATAACCTTAATAAAGATAAAAAACTATGCCTTATATTTTCCATAAAGTAGATCATTAAGAACCATCTTTACAGAAAACTCAAGTCCAAGATGATCAAAGGCCTCAACATAAATCCACATACACTGAACCTAATAGAAGAGAAAATGGAGAATAGCCTTGAACACATTGCCACAGGACACAGCTTCCCGAACATAACATCAGTAGCACGGGAACTAAGATGGACAATTAATAAATGGGACCTCATGAAGCTGAGAAGCTTCTGTAAGGCAAAGGACACAGTCAACAAGACAAAACAGCAGCCTACAAAATGGAAAAAGATCTTCACCAACCCCACATCTGAGAGAGGGCTGAGTTCCAAATATACAAAGAAACCAAGAAACTAGATACCAACAAGCAATAATCCAATTTAAAAATGAGGTGCAGATCTAAACAGAGAATTCACACACACACACACACACACACACACACACACACACACACAATCTCAAATGGCCTTAAGGATATGTTCAACATCTTTAGCCATCAGAGAAATGCAAATCAAAATGACTCTGAGATTCCATCTTACACCTGTCAGAATGGCTAAGATCAAAACACAAGTGACAGCTCATGCTGGAGAGGATGTGGAACAAGAGGAATAATCCTCCACTATATACCCAAAGGATGCTCAATCATACCACAAAGATATTAGCTCAACTATGTTCATAACAGCTTTACTTGTAATAGCCAGAATCTGGAACCAACCTAAATGCCCCTCAACCAAAGAATGGATAAAGAAAATGTGGTACATTCAAGATGTAAAGACTTAAAAGAGAAGAGGTCCAGATCTTCTCCCTGGTAAGATAAGACCATGTGGAAATACTTAGATAGATAGAAATTGGTTAATATTTAAGACAGAACTAGCCAGTAAGGAACACTAGTAACAGGCCATCAGCTTTATACCTAATACAGCATCTCTGTGTGTTATTTGGGAGCTAATGCAGCTGTGGGGCCAGGCTGGCAGGAAAACTGCTTGTAACAAAATGGCACCTGCAACGTGGGGCCCGAGAGCTTTCACTTAAAACTGGACAAAAGCTTAAAAAAGGGTTTTAGAAACAGAAGAACAGAGACAAACAAGGCTTCTTGGTAACAGCATTTTTCTTGGTTGGGCTCTGTTTTGCTAGAGACAAGCAGAGATTTGCACGGCTCCTTTAAGGGATGTGTCCTGACTCAGCATAAGAGGCAAACCCTGCTTATAACTTAATGGTGTGTGCAAGAGCTGGCAATGGCAATGACCACATCTCCAAGATGGCACCAAAGTGGTGAGCATAGCTCTCAGTACTGGTGCTAAATGTACCCTGGGCAGCTAATACAGCTGTGGTTTTCATTTTAGCAATATTGTTTAGCATATAAAAGATTCCTGGCAAGAAAAGATAAAGATTTACAGTAAAGACAGATTCAGATTAAGAAAAACCTCTAAAGGTTTACAGTGTGTTTTAAAAATATATGTAAGCTTGGGAGAGAAAAAGAAACAGGATAAAATGGTTTTTTAAAAAAATAGAGAGTAACTGGGTATGGTGGCACACACCTTTAATTCAAGCACTCAAGAGGCAGAGGCAAGCAGATCTCTGTGATTTCAAAGCGAACCTGGTATACAGAGTTAATTCCAGGACAGACAAAGGTTACACAGATAAACCCTGTCTCAATAAATGAAAAAATAGAAGTAAAAGAAATAGAGTAATAAAAAGACCACATAAAAATGGAAAATACACAGAGAGTCTGGATACCGTGTGCTATTATGTTGTCTTTGAATTGTTCAATTGCTAAGGAAGGAACAACAATTGCTACAATACACTTGATTATCAATACTGCTCAATTAATCCAGTTTATATATTTTTAAAATGCTTTGACTTCCAAATTCAAGTCTAAGGACAGGTTACTGGGGAAAAGAATTTCTATTTCTGTTTCCATAGAAAATGAAAAGCTATAGATTCCTTCTAGACAAACACGGTTTGATCAAGCAAGACCCTCTGAAACAGTGTCTCAGGTGACCCAACATTCAAAACAGCTGGGACAAGGCAGCCTTGCAGACTACAGCCAGGATTTCTGTGTCTTCTTAGGATCACCATGACAGCTCCCCCTACCAGCAGGAAGCAGTTTGGAAAGAACGACTCCCAAATTCTCAAAGTTGTTTATAAATATTTGTTTTCATTTAAATGGGGTTTGTTATAAATGGTTAATGATCACAACCAATCTCTTTTTAAAGGTAAAAAGGGGATTATGGTATAGAAATGCATACTTTGTATTGGAATGGATTTCCAGTTATTGATACAAATTTAAGGTCAATTGTATAATACATATAGGTGTTTAGGTGTTGTGTTTATATAGCTCATTTAAAAATATAATGTATAATTTAATACAGATTATAGTCACTATAATAGTCAAAACTTATAGTTAAACTAGTTATGTTTTCTAGATATACAGAGACATATTTCAAATGGATAGTCTTTCAAAGACCTACAGAATATGTCATTTAAAATGGTTTAGGGTTTTTCTTAATAGTGAGGCTCCTGGCAACACCGCCTGCATCAGAAAGGAAGATGAAGATCAAAGAAACTCGTTATGGAGTTTACTTCCAATATGACAAGACTAGCCATTTGGGCAAGATACTGCTTTTGTCTGGGCTGTTTGACTTTATACTGTATAAACTGGACATACACAACCCACAGGAAAGTGACTGCTAAAACAAGATGGACATTGCTATAGGGTTCCTGCTTCATGGAAGAGTCTGCCAGACATTCTGCAGGACACAAAGAAAAGTGAATGACAAACTGCCAATACAGGTGGGACAGTTTGAAATTTCCTGCTTTGCTGAGAAGTCTGCCAGACACACTATGACCTATAGGCTGAAGATGGAACATTACAGAAGAACTTCGGGTGACTGACCAGACAGTGAGTTTTCTGTCAAGTCTAGAGTTTATATATTATTCTTCTGTGGTCGTTGATGGAGTTGAAGACAGATAGTTATGGTTAGTTTTCCTTAGTTAGGATTAAAGATAAGTTGCTCACAAATATAGGATAGATGATAGAATAGAGAAACATAATTACATCTCCCATCACCTCTCTTTGTTCATTTCCCTGCCTCTTTATCATCCCCCCTTTTTCTCTTCTGCTGCTCCTGTCCCCAGAGGCTGGTTTCCCCCATCCCTCCCCCTTTTCCCATTCCCTTTCCTCTAATAAAACACCTCTTCATGTGAGGGGGGAAATCTGAAAGCAAATGTATCAAACTAGAAAAAAAAATCATCCTAGTGAGGTAACTCAGACTGATAAAGACAAACATGGAATGTACTCACTCATAAGTAGATATTAGTTATAAAATAAAGGACAACTATTCTATAATCCAAAAACGCAGAGAGACTAGGTCACAAGGAGAGTTCCTGGGATGACACCCAGATCTCCCTGGGAAGAGGAAATAGAAGAGATCTTGTGAATGGGCTGGGGGTTGGGGGGAGCATGAGCGATCAGGTTGTGGGACCATGGACAATGAGAGTAATAGGGTGGGCTACTGGGTTGGGGGGACATTTTGGAGTCAGGCTGAAGCATGGCAAAGGAAATCTCCCAAAATTCTCTATGGGAAGGACCCCAACTTAGACTCCTAGCAATAGTGGATAAGTAACCTGAATTGGCCATCTCCTGTGACCAGATTGGTGCTTGCCCAATTGTAATCAGAGAGGTGTCATTCAGCCACTGATGGAGGCAGATGCAGAGACCCACAGCCAAACATTGGGTGGAGTTCAGGAATCCTACTGAGTAGGGGGAAGGGAGTGTAGAAGCCAGAGGGTCAAGACACCACAGGAAGGCTCACACAGTCAACTAACCTGGGTTTATAGGGGCTCACAGCGACTGAACCAACAACCAGTCAGCTTGCATGGGACTGACCTAGGCACTCTACATATATGTTACAGTTGTGCAGCTTGGTCCTCTTGTGGGACTGCTAATATTGGGAACAGGAACTGTCTCTGACTCTTTTGCTAACTTTTGGAACCAGCCTTAATACGTGGGGAGGTGATTAGTTTTACTGCAACTTGATATGCCATGCTTTACTGATCCTCATAGGAGACCTGCCCTTTCCTGCATGGAGATGGAAGAGGAGGGGAGTGGGGACAGGGAGGAAGGATGGAGGCCAGGGACTGGGAGAGGAGGCCGGGAGGGGGTGCTATGGCCAGGATGCAAAATAAATAGATGAAAAAAAGAATTATCCGTGCAGATAAGTGTGCCTACAAACACATCTAAAAACACTTGTGTTTTCACTCTTTCAAATATTTAAATTAAACTGCTGTACACCCAATTATAAATAGTATCTGAAAGCATTTCCAAATTCCAAAAGAAAAATGAAGAAATTACATGAGTTTTGCCTTTGATCCACCAGATGGCAGTGTTGATTATAAATAGTAATTTGACCAAATCTTTTACTATAAGACTATCTATCTTTTTAGCTATATAAACATTTCACTTATTATATGTGTAATTCATATTTAGTGAAAAAACTAGGAAACACTAATAAGAAAAAACTGAAAGACTGTTTACTAACCCCACTCTCAATAAAATTTTTAACATCCTTATAAAAATGTGCTTTCAAGTGTTTATACAAACTTTCATTCCCTACATAATCTGTCCCCTGTCTCTCTTCTACTCAACAACATACACTGAGGATCTGAGATTCACAGCATAGCACCATGCTTATCTCACAGCATGTTGTTGTTGTTGTTATTATTATTTCTTACAGTCTCTTGCTATTGTTATTATTATTATTTCTTACAGTCTCTTGTTATTATTATTATTATTTCTTACAATCTCTTGCTATTGTTATTATTATTATTTCTTACAGTCTCTTGTCAAAGCCATTTCACTAGTTTCTTTACTGATGGCTGTTGGTTAGCGTCTAACCACTCTGGTTTATTTTTCTCTAGAGGAAATAACATAATCTGGAAGATCACAACTCTGTGGATGGAATGCATATAAACACACAAAGAAAAAATATAGCACTTATCGATCCCAGGTAATCACTATTAACATTTTAATAGTGATATTGATAAAGGAGAAATTCATACATTTTTAACCAGTTCTCTTGTGATTCAACTTGTAACCATTATGTATTACTGTCTAATTTGAAAATCTAATCGAGCACTTGACAGCATGTGAACAGCCCTATGATTCACACACACAGACACACACAGACACACACACACGCACACACACACACACACACAATGGAAAATGTCTTAATGAAAGTTGTTGGGATTGCTCAGCAGGTAAAAGGACTTGCTAACAAACCTAAAAACCTGAGTTTAACCCCCCAAAACCCACATAATAGAAAGTGAACCAACTCCTACAAGTTGTCTTCTGACCTCTACACATGTGCCACATGGTTATGTGCACATACTACACACACACAAAATATAAAAAGAACAGAAAATATTACATTCAGCACATGATTTTATAATATATATATATATATATATATATGCCAACAAAATGGACAAAGACTATCACTGATAATAACACAGACTACAAAAATAGTTAAATTTTTTAAACAAATCACAGTTACCCTAATCAAGGAATTAAACTGAAGAGGCCTATAGGCATTGTTCATGAGAGCAGAAAGTATTGTGGCCTTCCTAGAAAGCATACAAACCCAAAGCATCAGTCCTTTGAGACAGGAATCCTCAGCTGGAATATAGGTTCAGGGATAATTAGAAGAATGAGTATATATTTACAACAATGTTCACTATAGTAGACTGATTTAAACTAAGGGGAGAGGGGCTGGAGAGATGGTTCAGTCAGCAAAGAGCCTGTGGTAGTAAGGATGAGGTCTGAGTTCAGGTCCCTAGAACACATGTAAATGCTAGCCATGAAGGTGTGTCCAGCAATGGATGGCAGGAATAGACAGATCTGTTGCAGAATATTTGTTTACACTGTAAAGATGTGTCTTTGCCAAGGTGCCTTCTCTGATCACTTTAATACAGAGCTGAATGGTCAATAGCTAGGCAGGGAGAGGTTAGTTAGGCAGGACTTCCGGGACAAAGAGGACTCTGGGAAGAACAAAGGCAAAGTTGCCAGCCAGATGTGGAGGAAGCAGGATGGGCAGATAAGTAACAAGCCTCATGGTAGAATACAAACTAATGGGAACATTAATTTAAGTTAGAAGAGATAGTTGGGGCAAGCCTAAGCTAAAGGAAAAGCTTTCATAATGAATAATAAGTCTCTGTGTCATTATTTGTGGACTAATGGATCCAACAAGAAAGCTTACTATATAGATCTGCAGTGTTTATTGACCAGCCAGCCTTGCCAGTCAATGAGGCTCAGTAACAGGCCTGTCTCAAAAGGCAACAGAGTGGAAGATGAGAAGGAAGATGATAATGTCACCTGCCAGCCTCCATATACATGTATAGGCACCACACACACACACACACACACACACACACACACACACACACACACTCACACACACATAGTGAGATAGTTCTGTGGCACTGACCACGCCCATTGGGGTGGAGCCATGGGCGGAGTGACCTGTGGAAGGAGGTCAGAGGGGGCCAGGAAAGGTGCTCTCTTTCTGGCGTGACTCAGACAAGAGAGGATCGGGTTGAATTTCCTGGTGTTCATCTGTCTAGGTTGTAAGTTATTTCTCCCTGAATAAACATCTATTCGGCCTATTTGTTTATCCTGATCCTTATTTCCTTATTTTACCGCGTTATCCACACACACACACACACACACACACACACACACACACACACACACGTTTTAAACTTACAAAAAAAAGAATGTTAGCAAAACTATCTTAAGCAACCCATAAATACAAAAAAATACAAACCACATAAAGTACAATATAGCAAAACAATAGAATATTATATAACTATTAAAATATATTCTTGAAGAATATTTACTGACGAGGGAAGAGTAAAATGCACTGCTTATTTTAAAACTTCAGATTACTCTTGCATCAACACTAGAGTTCCAGCCTTTTAAAGGACATACACTGTGTCAAACAGTTCCAGCGGAAGTTCATATGGCTCTGTCAACAGCAAAGACCCAAAGAACTGACACTCACTTTAACTTACACATGACAAGGCCAAGGATGTCCTGGTTGTTCCAAAGCTATAACAGAAAACTTCCCTATCCAAGTCACTCACACTCCTGGGTTTGGACCAGTTCTAAATTATACTGGCTCTTTATTGCTGCTTTCTTGGTAGTTTCTACCAAGCGAGCAAAAGCATTGAAAAGTGTGGATACAAAACCAGCTATGTGTTAGGGACACAGAACCATGGAAGTCACTGATCCTCACTGCATCCATCTCCCCATGCTGTTCCCCACCCACCCATCCCAGCAACTCCTATAATATGAAGGGGGTGAGTACTTGCCTTTGATTAGCCGCTCAGGTCTTGTTCCTGGCAATGTCCACATCGCCTGTGCCAAGTGTCCAAAGACAGTGGCATCGAGAGTGGAAAGCTTGGGTCCCATGATGTACTTCTTGTCACCTGCAGCAAATGGAATAAAAAGGTCACTAGACTGGACCCAATTGTCTGATATGATCACAAGGACATTAAGCACATTCTCCTTATGCAGTTGTTTAACTATGCACCAAAAATTGTTACAGGGTCAAAACACATGCATGCCCTTTCCAAAAATGACAGATGATAGATAGATAGATAGATAGATAGATAGATGATAGTAGATAGATAGATAGATGATAGTAGATAGATAGATAGATAGATATGGATGGATAGATCAATACATAGATAGATATGATAGATAGACAAATGTTCTATGACACAACTCCCAAAGTAGCAAAGCAAGGAAGTGTGCTCACATACAAAGGGAATAAGGATGCTCCCAGAAAAAGGTGTAATTCATCAACAACTAAATTCCAGACAATCTCCTTCTCTCAACTCTGGTAATAAAAAGATCAGATGCTTACCAATACCTAGAAGTTTGCTAGAACCATCTCAAAAGTAATTTAGACCAAGCACCCAAGACCTCAATGTTTACAAGACTTAAACGAATACATTTGCCTAGAAACAAACAAAAAACCCAGGCTAAGGAGTTTGAAGCAAGGCTGTCTGTGATTCTCCCATGGACAGGCTAACTGTTTTGCACAGAATGGCAGCCTCCCTGGGAAACCTCAACTACAGAGAAGATACAAGGTCAAAGCTTCATCCCTGGCAGGCCCTGGCAGGGATGTTTCACACAACTGCTCTCATGTATCTGTTTAACCAACACTGATGTTAAGTTCAGGCCTTGACACATAGACTATCACACTTGACTAAGAACTGCCCAAGTTGTGCTTTGGGCTGTTGTCAAGTACTGGGTAGCATAAATAGAAACTTCTTTTTGCAGCAACTGAGAGCAAATGAAAGCCACAACTAGCCAAAATGTAGAGAACAATTGATGATGGGATGCCCAGTCCCAGTTGACATGGTACATCTACAATATAACCCTATACCTGCAGGTCAGGGGACATCTCAAAAGAGGGGACAAAAATATGTTAAGAGCCAAAGGACTAGGACTCCTGCTTCTAGACGTGGCAGGAAAGCTACGGCCATGAAATCTCCAGAATATGGTTGACTATACCATACCTGAACAACAATTAATATATCAACATAGATTGGGATGTTATAGAATCCCACCCCTAGATGAAGACCTATAGGCAAATAATGACTCTTGAGAACAGGAGAATTAGCTCCCCAGGGCGGAGCCCCCTACTTGGTTATCCAACACCAACATACACACATAACCAAAACTAAATGGACTCAGCAGATTTTATGTATTTATTCAAAAATATTTGTCACAATAATAATGAAAGAAAAACAAGCCATGTATTTCAGGGGGAATGGAGTGTAGGGACTTGGAGAGGTTGGAGGGAGAAAAGGGTGGTAATTATTGTTCACATATGTGAAAATTCTTTAATTCATTTAGTGAGAAGGAAAAAAATATCTCCAATGTGTCTGGAGAGATGGCTTGGAGATTAAGAGCATTGGCTGCTCTTTCAGAGATCCTAGTTCAAGTACCAGCAACCACATAGAGGCTCACATCCATCTGTAATGAGATCTGGTGCCCTCTTCTGGCCTACAGGCAGAACACTGTGTACATAATAAATAAATATTTAAAAAACAAAAACTGCCTGTTGTCAGTTACTGTATCATAAAGAGAGAATAGTAGAATTGTATGCACCCAGGTTACATTCTGGCATCTGGTTATCTGTCCTGACCATCACCTAACCTCTCAACAGTTTCCTGTCTGTAATAGAAGATAACATTAGGAGTACGTGTTCCTAGGGCCTGGGATATATCTTAGTCAATACAGTGTTTGCTTTGCAAGGATAACAACTTAAGTTCAATCCCTACAACCCACATTAAAAAAAAATGGTCATGACAGAATGTGCTTGTAACCTCCTTTCTGAGGAGATGGAACCTGGTTCGTTAGTCAGCAAGCTGAGCCTATTTTGTGAGTATCAGGTGAGTGAGAAATCCTGCCTCAAAAGAAAGGTGGGTGACACCTAAAGTTCCCTGACCGCTATATGCCAGACACAAATGAGCCTGTTCCTCAAGACTATTGTGGGGATGTAAAATCCTCTGAGTCAGTTTTGAGTAACTCGGTGAACATTAGCTCTCCTGGAGGCAGACTCTCCCTTTCTTAGTCTGTGCCCCATACCACATGAATATAATCTTATAAGGCCATACCATTCCTTTTCACAAACACTTTCAATGGCTTATTAAAGGAGCTAGGAAATAAAGTCCAAACTCAACCTGGAAGACAAGGACCATGATCCTCTGCTCCCAAGTCAACCTTTACTCCAGTGAAATCCCTCTCTTCCTTTCTGTTCTGTTCCCCAGAGCACGCTGTCTCCATTGCTACACTTCGAAACCCATGGGTTCCCACTTCCATCTTGTCAATCCCATTTATCTTCGAGGCTCATCACCAGCTTCCTTTGAAAGAGTTCTCTCTTATTCTTCTCAATGATAATGGGTGCTTTCAATCTACACAGCTGATGCTCAGTCACACTTCTATCCATGTAGCCACACAGGACATAAAGCATTTAATGTCTATTAATGTCATATTCCTCAACTATAAAGTAGAAATATTTTCAAGTTATTGAGAATACTGAGGTTCCTCCTCTTGGGTCCCTTACATAGTATTTTTTCTCTGCTATGTATACCCAGGTTATCTTTTATTAGTGGATTTTATCCTTCAAGTATATTGAAAGCAGGATCACTTCTTATTTTTCTTAACAACTTTTTGCAGTGTGCTTTTATTTTCCTGGTATGAACTGAGGAAGTTGGACCTTTGATGACAATTCATAGGCCAAGTAAGAGGGGAAACTTCTATAGGAGGCAACACAAGAAAACAACCCAGAAAAGACAAATGAAGCTGAGAGATACCACTTTTTAAATTTTATCTACTGCCAGGCATGGGGGTGCATCTCTTCAATCCCCATATTCTGGAGGCATAAACAGGAAGATTTTTTTTGTGAGTTTGAGGTCTATACAGTGAGTTTCAAGCCAACTAGGGATACATAATGAGACCCTATCTCAAGGAAAGAGAGAGGAAGAAAGGGAGGGAGAGAGTAGGGGAGGGAGGGAACAATGTAAGAAGGAAGAGAGAGGGAGGAAGGGAGGGATGGAGGGAGGGAGAGAGAGGGATGGAGGAAGGGAAGGAGTGAGGTAGGGAGGGAAGGAGGGAAGGAAGGAGAGAGAGAGGGAGGGAAGGAGGGAGGGAGAATCCTATTATGCATTTCATTGGAACCAAGCAATACTATGCTAGGACAATATCTGAACCTAGCCAAATTATCTTTTTTGATGAAGAAAGAGTTTTCCTTGTTAGAACCCTAGATGTTTCTCACTGTCCACTAATCTCCATCATTTCCATCTTACCTCAGAATCTAAGCAAGTTACTCAAATAACAGGAAAATAGCAATATACTACCCAGGCAAAAATAACACACATAGTAGGCATCATTCAGTCTTAGGATTGTTGCATCTCTGTTTTTTTAACTTTTAAAAAACTGTGTGTGTGTGTGTCTGTGTCTGTGTGTGAGTGTGTCTATACATGCATGTCCTATAGCAGGTATGTAAATGTCATGCATGTTCTACAACAGGTATGTAGAGGTCATACATGTTCTACGGCAGGTATGTAGAGGTCAGAGGACAATCTCAGGTGACAGTCTCCACCTTCTACCTTACATCTCTTGTTTGCCACTATGTACCTGATCTACCAAGGGTTCTTCTATCTTAGCCTACCAGCTCACTGTAGGAGCTCTGACACTACACACACACATACTACAACATCTGGCTTCAGATGAGTTCTGGGGGATCAAAACTCAGATTCTTGCTCTAGTGTGACACATGCTTACCCACTAAGTTATCTCCCCAGCCCAGTTATTTTCTGATGGAAGATCTTGCTTTCTCCACGCCTCAGTCACTGCTCTATTGACAAGGGAAATGTTGGTGGCTGAGAGACCCTTCTCAGAGCTCTCGTAACATTCTGCTTGGGGTGGGGGGAGAGATCAGCAGATGACCCAAGAATCCCTATTGGATTGCATCAGGGCTTTACCCAGCCACAGCTCAACCCAGGAGAGCCCACCTGAAACACCTGAAATGTATTAAGAACAGAGCCACATACTGGAGCAAAACAAAACAAAAAAAAAAAAAGAGGAAAGGAAGAAGAAGGAAGAGGAGGAGGAGGAAGAAAGAAGAAGAAAAGGAAGAGGAAGAAACATAACAATGGATTCCTGACTCTTGTCCCCCCACAACACACACAAAAACAAAGAAGTATTCTAGAGGAACTAGAGAGATGGTTCATCAGTCAAGTGCTTGTCTTGCAACAAGCACAACTGAATTCAGTCTGCAGAACATACTTTGGAATTCTTTTAAAAAGCTGAGCATGCGCTGGGTGGTGATGGCACACACCTTTAATCCCAGCACTGGGGAGGCAGAGGTAGAAGCAGGTGGACCTTAAGATTTGTGGGAAAGCTAGCTTATTTAGCAAGCAGTAAGCCAGTAAGAGATCTGCACTAAAAAAAGAAAACCAATTGTGGATAGTATCTGAGCAATGACACCTGAAGTTGTCCTCTGTCTCTTCATGTAAACACAAACACGAGAGCACATGCGCACACATACACACACACACACACACACACACACACACACACACACACACACAAGGGGAAATGCTAGAGTGTATATTATCAAGACTCTTATAAAAATTAAAGGCTTTGAGGACAAGATGGGAAAATGTGTCTAGATAAAACATTTATAAAATCTAAATATAGAGCACAATAATATATATAATATCTATATAATCATTTTAGCCCATATACCGACTTGTGTACATGGTAGTTAGCCAAAACTATTTGGTCTCAGAAAGTTACAAGTAGAAAGAAACCAAATTAACAATAGCACCAGACTAAGATGCTGGCACCACAGCCTCTTGGGTTCTGGCCGAGTGTCCTTTTGTCTCTATAATATTATGCATACATCACC